GGTCGGAGACGGAGCGCCGGTGGCGGGGACGCCAGCTAGAGCACGCGGTCGAGCCGGCGGAGCTCAAACCCTAGCCCCCGCCGAAGTCATCAAAGCACGCACGTGGGCCGGCGAGGTTAGAGGTATAGGTCCTAGACAAGGTGGTGGCAGGGCGGCCGACGCTGCGAGCATGATCTGGCAAACCCTAGCCGCCCTAGCTGCCTGCGGAAAGGCGGTGGTTGGGGAACGGTGGACGGAGGTGCAGTTAGGTGAGGATGGAGGAGGTTAGAGAAGGCGGTTGTATACCATGGAGACGGCAGCGGCAGCAATGGGGGTAGCGGAGAAAAAATTCGGCAGCCTGCCGACGTCCGAGAGGAAGAAAGTGCCTAGGACTTAGAATAATTTTGGCCTCCCGCGAGCTCTTGCTTATATACCGAAGGTCATTTGTTGGGGCGGCTTAAAACACCAGCTACCCCTATAAATCGATTTGTAGGGGCGGTTCCTGAGTAAGCAGCCCCTACAAATATTTTTTAATTTATTTTAATGAATAATTTTTTAATTTATATATAAAGAACACAATGTAAATTTGTATAATACTTTTTTGATTATTCTATATATGTATAAATAAATATATTTATAAACAATTTCATGATATATATACAGATATAATTATATATTTTATTCTTTACAAAAAGAATATTTTAAAAATTAAAAATTTGAAATTGAAAACAACTAAAACAATTTTATCTCCACTAAATAACCTCAAATGAAAATTTAGTAACCATCAAAGTTGTAGAACTCATCAAGATGTACAACTTATATTTTGGTCATCTTTTCATTTGACCAAATTTGAATAATTTAAATTTTAAATTTCAATAGATGTCAACTTCAAAGAAGATTTTGAAACCTTAAAGGATTTCAAATAAGAAAGTCACTATCTACAACTTTTATTTTGGTCACTTCTTCATTTGATAAAGTATTAGTAAACATTATTCACAAATTCACATATTACTCATAGTTTCATGAACTATATGAGAGACATGTTGATTTGTGAACAATGTTTACTATCACTTTTATCAGATGAAAAAATAACCAAAATAAAAGTTGTAGATCTTGATGAGTTATACATCTTTGGTATTCATCATTTTTTAGCTAAAATCATTTAGTGTTTCAAAATCTTGTTAGAACTTGTAATTTTTTTAAATTTGAAAATTTGAATTGCTCAAACTTTGTCAAACAAAAAGAATGACCAAATCAACATAGTAACTTGATAGGGCATGATTTTAGAAAATTTTAGAAAAAAAATCATCACATTTAGAGTTAGTATGAGGGGGAAAGACTAGTTACCAATTTTACCCAAAAATTAAAAAAAATCATAATTGTTCATGATGATCAATGATGAACAAGTGTGATTTCTCTTTTTAATCTATGGCTGAAACTTGTAACTACTTTTTCTTCCTCATACTAACTCCAAATGTGATGGTTTTTTTCCTAAATTTTTCTAAAATCATCCTCTATCATTTTAGTCTGATCATCTATCTTTGTCACTAATTTTGGACAATTCAAATTTTAATTTCAGAAAATGACAACTTCAAACCAGATTTTCAACCACTAAATGATTTCAGCTGTAAAGGTGATGAATATAAAAGTTGTATAACTCGTCAAGATCTCCAACTTGTATTTTGGTCATTTCTTCATTTCATAAAGTGTTAAGGGCTTGTTTTAAGTGTTTCAATAGTAGTCCGAACATGTTGCAGTAGTAATAAGTGCATGTTTCAAGTGTCTGCGTGTTACAGCTGTTTTAGTAGTAATAGAGTGAATGTTGTAGTAGGTTCATCTGGATGTTGCAAAGGGTAGTCTCATACACATGCATAAATGTAGTCTCACACACCTACATAAAAGAAGTCTTATAAACACACACACTTATACAAACACTCCACATTCAACAACTAACTAGCCCATTGTAACAACTTTTCCCTTGATAACTTTTCGTTCCCATGACAATATGTCTTTAGGTAGGTTCTTTTCTACAGCACTGATCTTCTTAGGAAAGTCTATGAATAGTGGCATCTCATCGTAGTTATTGTAAGCTTCAACATCATCCACGCCATCAACTCCGATAGTGTGCTGTTTCTTGAGGCAACCACGTGCTTTGTCTTATTCTTCGGTGGGAGGTTACTTTGTGGGTCAGGCATATAGAAAACTTGTGCGACACGTGAAGCGAGCACCCAAGGGTCATCTTGGTAGCATAGATTCTCGAGGTTCAGGACTCTCAATTCGATTTCGTTCAGTTGTTGTTGTTTGATCCAGCGGCATCAAAACAGGGACACCGTTATATCCCTTCCATAGTCAAGTTCCCATACCTCTTCAATGATGCCAAAGTATTGGATCTTTCGCCCCACTCCATCGAGAGCTTCTATTCGAACGTCGCTGTTTTGGTTCACATATTTACTATCCTTTGCGTAGGTATAGTACGTGTACCCATTGATGTCATAAGCTTTCCAAGATGTTGTACATGGTCAAGATCACTGGCCAAGTGTTGTGGTCGCTCATCCTCTCATTGAAGGGATTCATTCCATCGATGCTCAAGCCAAACCGTACATTCCTTAGGTCATCGCTAAATTATTTGTGCTTCTCATCGATCCTTTGCCACTGACTATAATCAGCCGAGTGTGCAATCTTATCATAATCCACCTTGCGCTCATCATCCCACCATGTCAAGAATGCGGCTTCTTTAGGGTTTAGGAAGATACGTCTCAAGCGGTCGGTCACTGGCAGGTACCATATTACCAAGGCAGGAATTCTTCTCTGCTTTGCATCGTTGCCTAATGAAGTGTCCTCTGGGGGCTGAGATTCTTGTACCTCCTTTTTCGTACCCTTCTTATTTCTCTTTTTCCTTGTGGAGGCTTCGTCCCCACCATAAATGTCATTGTTCTTCTACCGGCTGGACCCACACCGGAGACATTTATCCAGTGACTTGAACATTTTGCCACGAAAAAGGATACAGTGGTTGGGGCATGCATGGAATTTTTCAACTCCCATTGTCAATGGACTTATGACCTTCTTCGCTTGGTATGTGTTGACAGGAACTGAGTTTGGTAGTGGCAGCACCCATTACAGGAGACGTAATAGATCATTGAAACTATAGTCTGACCAGTCGTACTTAGCCTTCAGGATAAGTAGCTCAAGCACAAAACGTAGCAATGTCCAATATGTCGGACAGCCCTTTTCAGCACCATACACAGTCTCAGTCGATGCTTTTGTCACCCTTTCTAAATTTTCTAGACTTTTCGGGCTCTTTAGTAAAATCTCTGGTCCAAGGACCCGAATCATTTCCTCCAAATCATCAAAATCATCTTCATCACCAACACGTGCTCCTCCATCATTTTTGGCACCACCTTCATCGTTACCATCCCAACCACCAGCATCACCACCTTGTTCATTACCAAACTCAGGATCCATTTGTACATCAAGCTCTTCTGAGTATTGGGACAGGTATTCTAGGGTTTTGGCGTCTTCTTCTTCATCGTCGTCGTCATTATCAACAACCGTTGTTTTACCATGATGAATCCACATTGTATAGTCCTTAGCAAATCCTCGCAAAATCAAATGTTCTCTAATGATACTCACATTTGTCCATGCCATAAGGTTCTTGCAATCTTTGCAGGGACAAATAATTGTATCATTATTATCTGTCAACGTCGCTGCATGCTTCTCTACGGCTTCAATAAATTTGTCCACCTCTTCACGGAAACCTGCCTTGAACCTTAATGAACCATACATTCAAAACTTCCTGTACTCCATCTTTTAAAACACAACAATCAAAGAAAATACATTAAAGGACTACTAATTCAGATATATATGTAAAGGAATCAAATTAATAATTAATTACTTGACAATAATTCTATATACTTCATATATATAAATATAAATATAAAATAAAATTACATGAAGCATATCAAACACACGCCATGGTAGAGGGTAATTAATTAATGACCTATTTATCAATAAACAATTAAAAATATATATTTATTAATTAAAATAAATAATTTCAAAGACAACAATTAATATTTTACCCACTACCTTTCATGTAAACCCTATTTCAATTTCATAAAACATAAATTACAGAATTAAAATTAAAAAAAACAAACCCTAGATCTAGATCTAAATCTACATGTACATGAAACATACATGAAACGAGGGTGTAATCTCAACTAAATCAAGAAAGATCGACTAATAAATGGTGTAATCTCATTTATCTAACTAATTTACACTAATAGCTTCAAAATTAAAGTCTAATTTGCTTCATACAAAGCTCAAGCACCATAAAAGAGAGAGAAAAGCAAAACTCTAATTACGATCACTATCCAACCATTAAAACTTCAAATAAAGGCTTGGAATAGCATTTTCTTACCTTGTACAACCTCTCCACTAAAATATTTGAGATCAAAACCTCCCCCTTAGTAGAGCAATTTTTGGGAGGAGCCCAAGGCCTCCTAACCTTTTTTTGTTTGGGTTGGGGAGAGTGGCCCGAGGTGGAAGAAGGTGGCTACTATATATACAGCGGGCATTTGTAGGCTGCCGCCCCTACATACAAATCTATGCATTTATAGGAGCGGCTCGTATTACCAGCCGTCCTTACTATGCCATTTGTAGGGGCGGCTGCTGTGCAAACAGCCCCTATATGCCCCGTCCAAATAGGCCTTTGAATGAACAGAAATTATTCCATGAAAAGATGTAGCTTCGTTCATGTTGCTATATGATAACAGGACACTGGAAATTATGTGCGTGAGCCGTGAGCCGGTGTGGATACTTGCAAGCATCTCAGCTACAGATTAAAAGCCCGGAAGATCGAGTCGGATCATTATTGGATCAACGCGACCGTAGCAAATATGGATCGGACTACTCGATATTTACGCTGCATAAGCTCTCTTTAAACAGATTATTACTTATTACATAAATAAACTGCGTAAGTGCGGATAGATACCACGTATCAGGCAGGCATCAAATCTTGTGTTGTCATGCCTCGCAAAGATGTCGCCCTCCTCGTTAGTGCTTTCGTATGGCTCCTGGCGCTCATTACAGCGCTCGGCAAGGCGAGCGCGCTACTGGACGACGACTGGCCTCCCGATCCGGCGACGTACCCGCCGGGGCGAGTCGTCGCCATCGACCTGGGCAACACTAACTCGTGCGTCGCCGGCTACGAGAGCGGCGAGACGACCCAGACCATGTTCCACCACTGCATCCCCTCCTGGGTCGCCTTCGCCGCCGATGGTGCCGTCCTCGTCGGCGAGGACGCCGTGCACCACGACGCTGTCAACCCCGAGGCCGCTGTCTTCGGCTTCAAGCGCCTCCTCGGCAAAAGGTAATTAACCATACATCTAGCTACTTTCGTAATTACTAATCTTTAGCTAGAATATTGCATGCATGCGCTGGTGGCTGGTGCTGGATCGGATCAATTAATATTGGTGATGATAACGAACCAAATTCATGTATGCAGATTCACTCGCGTTTTCGAGCAGGAATTTGCTAAGAGCGCCAAAGAGAATCTGCCATACAAGGTCGTCGAGGAGAACGTGCAGCTTCACATCGAGGTGAAGACGGCCAAGGACGGCGCAGTCAGGAACGTCGGCGTCGAGCAGCTCACGGCCGTGGTGCTGACCAAGCTCAAGGAGACGGCGGAGGCGCACCTCGGCCACCGGGTGGAGGACGCCATCCTCACGCTCCCGCTGCAGTTTTCCGACGACGCGTCCAGGTCCGCAGCAGTGTTCGCCGGCAGGCTTGCCGGCCTCAAGGCCGTGAGGGTGGGGCTCAGCGAGCCCGTCGCGGCCGCCATCGCCTATGGCCTCAGCAGGAACCTGCGCGACGAGGGCAACGTCGTCGTGCTGCACGTCGGCGGCGGCACGGCTGAGGCGAACGTCATGACCTTCGTGGACGGTGTGTATGAAGCCTTGAGCTCGCAGTATGACCCTTTCTTTGGAGGGCAGGACTTCGACCGGAGGATCGTGGACCACTTCGTCCAACTGATCAGGGACAAGCATGGAAAGGACATCGCCAACGATGGCATGGCACTCAGCAAACTGAGGATAGCATGCGAGCTTGCCAAGAAGACATTGAGCCACCAGGAACATGCGCAAGTGAGCATCGAATGGCTCGTCGACGGCGTAGATTTGTCAGAGCCACTGACGCGGGCTGAGTTTGAGGAACTGAACCATGATCTGTTCCTCAAAGTTGTTGAGATGGTGGATAGGGTGGTGTCACAAGCTGAAGTGGAGACCATTGATGAGGTGCTTCTTATTGGTGGAAGCACCATGATCCCAAAGGTTAGGGAACTCATCAGGGACTACTTTGGTGGGACCAAGGCAGTGCTCCATTCGAGGTTGAAACCAGATGAGGTGGTCACCATTGGAGCCGTGGAGTACAGCAAACGACATGACGCATTGTGTACGTAGCAGCTGATGAGTTGACTAACGCGGTCAAAATGTAGATGTTTGCCTTTTATTTTGGCCTACGTTCATCCGACTTATAGCCTATATATATGTTTAGCGGGCACAATCCACATTTCTGTGTTTAGATTTATCTTTTTTCTTCTCTTTGTCTATTTGTTCCATGATATGTTTATTCATTTGTTCCATTCTTAAAAGGTAATGTCTTGCTAATATTATTTACTTATGTAGTTTTTAAAAAAATGTTCTACAGATTTGATTATTTTAAAAGTGCAAATGTTTTGTTTCTCCGGTACAAAATTTTGTTCCTATATACTGTAAAGGGTAATGTTTTGCTAACTTATGTAATTTTTAAAATATTCTGTGAATTTCATTACTTTTATTGTACAAGTGTTTTGTTTCTCTCCTATAATAGAGAATCATCTCCTTCCCCGCCACCGCGCTGTCCTTTGCCTTCCCCACCGCCACGCCACCCGACACCGACCAATCTCTACCTCCAAGCCACCTCCTTGGCCATGCCGCCGCCATATCACCAGCAGGAGAGAGTGAGAGAAAGATTAAGAGGAGGGAGAGAGTGTTGTCTCAGACCTAGGTGAATGAGAGGGTGAGAAAGGCGCGCCATGCACAGGATCCTGGAGCGTCTATGCCACCCTCGCGCCGCCAGAACTTGCCCCACCCCTACTAGAAACCAATTTGTCGCCCAAACTGCCCCCGCCCCTACGTACTATCTTGCCCTGGGGCACTAGCTGGCGCCGCCGTTGGACAAGGAGAGAAAGGGGCAGTTGAGAAAGAGAGAGAAAGAGGGATGGAGCGCCTGTTTGAGGGGTGGGTGAGAGAGAGAACAAGGCGGTTGTGGCTGAAGTTGTGAGTGGGAGGAAGAGAAGTGAGGGAGTTAGGGTCTTGCCCGCTTATGTAGTCCGAGATCCAAAGTGCGCTGAGATGGGTCGCGCGTATTCATAGCAAGCTCAACCTGTTAACAGAGGTGGGTCAAGGCTTTTCCAAAGGTGGACCTCTTGATCGGTTAAGGAAGTACGCTCAAACCACAAAAAGGTTAAGGAAGTTTGACATATCAAATTCTAACACTTTCTTATGTTTTTGTTTTTTAGAGGAACCGAGCAGGAGAGACTTTGTTATGGGAGGGTAGCAAAAACATTACAATGTTTTCAGTTCGAACTGGTAACTGAAAGAAGGAAGCGTCAATAGTACAGAAACTATTGAGAACTGACTGTCAATGAAAAAATCCGATGGGTTATATCCTTTTGTTTCCGCTGCAGCGCAAGTTTAGATAAATAGTACAAGCATCACTAAAATAAAGAACCAAATCCTATCCAGCAGACAGTACAGTTCTGCTAGCTTCTCCACTCAGATTCAGAACTGAACAGGCACTAGAAAAGGGGAAATATCCTAAGCACATGGGAACAGCAGCACCAAATCTACTAAAAGTAGTTTTTTTATTGATTCAACTAGACTGACCATATCTCTTAGGCAACTCAATCAACTAGCATAAAATAGGTGAAGGTGGAGAGGTAAAGAGTTGTCATGGCATACATGGTTGTAGAGCGGGCGGTAACCAATGACGACGGTGACACTGCGGATGCCCAACCCCAGGGCGGCGTCGAGGCCCTCCATCAGCGCCATCACCTCCACAATCATGCGGCCGCCCACAAAGCGCTCCACCGGCTTCTGTATCCTGAGCACCACTCCCCCCTGCGTCCTGCAGACAGCCACCGCGAGCACGGCGATGCTGGGGTCCCGGTCCCACGGGCCCACGACGTCCCTGCTCGGCATACCCTTGGAGAAGACGCGGAACAGCGGGCGGGGCGAGGAGTCGACGGGGCGCTCGAAGTAGTCGCCGTCGTGGGCCCATTGTTCCTCGGGGATGTCGGCGAGGTCCGGTGGCTGGCGGCCGCGGGGGCGGCCGCGGGCGCGGCGCACGGGGAGGGGGCGTTGGCGGGCGGCTGCGCGGGGACGGCCGGGAGCGGCGGCACGCGGGCTGTCTGTTTGTGGCTTGACTGCCCGGCCGAATTCGGTTAAGTCCCCCACCCGCCCCTTTGTCGAGCGCCGGATAAGGAGGCCCGACCGGCCGTCGGCAAAAAAAAAATTATTTTTTGAAATTTCTTTGCCGAGTGTCCTTCTGAAGTCACTCGGCAAAGAGGAAATTTCTAAAAAAAAAATTCAAAAACCTCTTTGCCAAGCGCTTTATTTTTAGCACTCGGCAAAGACCCCATTTGCCGAGTACCCTGCCCCGACACTCGGCAAAGTTTTTTCATTTTTTTTTGTTTTTTATCTCTAAATTTTTTGTGCACCCCTTTTAAAATACCATGAACTCCTAATTAGAATTTGGGGATTTTTTGTGGCTTTTTGATATATTTAGTTACTTTATTTCGTTTACTTGAATTTTTTGAAAAAATATAAATTTGAACTGCACGTGGTACGAATAATGGAATTTAATGATTCAAAAACTGATAGTCATGTTAGTGAGTGTAGTGTGAGGCTGTATCCAGGAACGGACCCAAAATTTCAGACATCTTGTTCACGAAACATGACCGCGAACTTGTGTGCGAAGTGTTTTTAAATTCTATAAAAAGCAAACGAAGTCCAAAAATCATGAAACTTGTTGAGATGTCGTGATATCGTATGTGGAGGCTACGATAAATTTTTGATAAGGTTTGGTGCACGGTGTCATGTACGATGCTTACAAACCAGGACATCTCAACAACGTACGTGGAGATGTCCTGGTTTGTAAGCATCGTACGTGACAACGTTCACCAAACCTTCTGAAATTTTTATCATAGCCTCCACATACGATATCACGACATCTCAACAAGTTTCATGATTTTCGGACTTCATTTGCTTTTTATAAAATTTAAAAACACTTCGCACGCAAGTTTGCAGTCATGTTTCGTGAATAAGATGTCCGAAATTTCGGGTTCGTTCCTGGATACGGCCTCACACTACATTCAGTAATCATTTTTTGAATCATTAAATTCCATTATTCGTACCACGTGCAGTTCAAATTTATATTTTTCGAAAAAAAACAAGTAAACGAAATAAAGTAACTAAATATATCAAAAAGCCATAAAAAATCCCCAAATTATAATTAGGAGTTCATGGTATTTTAAAAGGGCTGCACAAAAAATTTGGAGGCCAAAAACAAAAAATAAATAAAAAAACTTTACCGAGTGCCGGGGCATGACACTCTGCAAAGGTGGTCTTTGCCGAGTGCCAATAATAAGGCGCTCAGTAAAGAGGATTTTTTATTTTTTTTAGAAATTTCCTCTTTGCCGAGTGCCTCCACATGGCCACTCGACAAAGAAATTTCAAAAAATAAAAAATTAAATCTTCGCCGAGTGCCGTGTCAGGGGCACTCAGCAAAGTATTTTCCAAAAAAAATACTTTGCCGAGTGCCAAATTTGGGACACTCGGCAAAGACATTTAAAAAAATTTAAATCGGGCACTCGGCAAAGTATTTTCAAAAAAAAACTTTGCCGAGTGCCTAACAGTAGGCATTCGACAAAAAAGGACGTGGCCGAACACCGTTACGCGAGGCAGCCTATGCCGAGGGCCGCGCTTTTGCCGAGAGTCTGGCACTCGACAAAGAAGTCCTTTGTCGAATGTCCGATTTTTGACATTTGGCAAAGCAATTTGCACTCGGCAAAGGCTCTGTTGCCAGCAGTGTATGGAACGTCTGAATGAAACCGGCGAGCATGCCATTAATTACGTGCTGCTTCGATCGACCCACTCACTCAAGTCTTCCATATATCATCTCATCTGATTGATCAAGGAACTTCCTCCCCTTTGTTATATCGTTGCATAATGAATTCCGTCAAAACACAACTACCTACTGCCAACTGAAACTTCCTCCCCTTTGTTATATCATTGCATTGCCCTAGTGGCCGGTAGTGGAGGAGAACCCCAAGGGAATCACAGTAGTATACTATTATTATATATGTAAGCAGCAGAGCGTAGAAACTGCACTGCACTAACGCTAGCTGCTCCACGGGCGCCACACTGATTGGTTGACTACATCGCATTACATAGACAAGCGACATGCAAGTTGTTGGGTAGTGACAGAGAGTGGTTTCACAATGGCAAGTAATCAATCAATCAGCTGCATGTAGTTGGAGTAATTAAGCAAGCGAAGCGACCAGACCAGCACCGCACGCACACGCACGTCGTGCCGCCGACGGCCTCCCATTTTAAAGCGAGGCGAGCCTCCGGCACGGCATGGTGACACCGACTGCATGGCATTGGTATTGTATTATTGTTTCGTCTTGGTGATCGATGGTGATGGAGACGATGGGCCGGCTTCGGTGATGGTGACTGGGATGAATGGAGGGAGGTCCCGTTCACTTCGTTGAAAAAACAAGCTGAAATACTGTTCCAGCTGATTTGTTGTGAGAGAAAAACATTGTTTCGGTTGAAAAGACAAGCTGAAAAGTACAGATTATAAAATAAGCGAACACGGACGAAAAGTGGTTAAAGCTAGCTAGCTAGGTAATGAGACCACTGCGCTGCAAGCACTCGAGCGACACGTACCGGTTGGCCGCTGGGATACGGGATACCTCTCCATTACTGAGGAATACTAATAATATATAGAACAGATAGGCTTACTTACTCTATGAACAAATAAAAGAGAAGTACTTGTGGGCTTCTACAATACTAGCTGGGATATAGTATTGTTTATCCATTGCTTATATATAAATATATGTTTAATGAAGCAATAAACTTCAATTTCAATCAATCAGTATATATGTCAGCGATTCAACTCTTTGTATTGTTGTGCTCATGCCTCGACGTTGTCGACACAATATTGTTGTGCCGGTTTAGCTATTTTCATTTGGAACTGGGCTCGGCGGCGTTGTTGTACTCAATGTTGTTAACATGCCTCGATCAGTGGTAATCCCACCAAGTACATACTAAAATACACTTCGTCATCATGCTCATGCATATTGCAAAATCTTGAAGCACATATATATACCCCTGGTGTCCGCGACGTACGCAAACGAATGTCGTCATTGGAAGACAGGCAGCCATGGCGCCTCGTCGTGGTTGGCGCTGGCGCCGCCGTCTCCCTACCTCGCTCGTGCTCCTCACCACCATCACCGTCGTCTCCAGCAGCTTGCTTGGTGGGTACGCCAGCGTGGAGACTTACACACCGGCCAGGACGCACTGCCCGGCGGAAGGCGGCAACTTCAGCGCCGGCAGCATGTACCAGGCGAACATAGACGGCCTCCTCCACAGCCTCCGCGACGGCGCCATCACAAACGCCGGGTTCTTCAACACCACCTTCGGCGTTCCCAACGATGAGGTGTTCGGCGTCGCCATGTGCTTCGCCGACGTCAGCTGGTCCGACTGCAAGAAGTGCCTTAACATGGCGCCTTCTTACATGATGAGCACGGCGTGTCCGAGCGGCCGGACCGGGGCGCTCCTGTACAAAGAGTGCCTCCTCCGCTACTCCGACGAGTACTTCGCCTCGATGCAGACCGACACGGACCAATATCCCTTTGGGTTGATCCTCGAGGCATACGTCGGCGACATGGTGAGCATGAACAACACTCGGTGGAAGATGATGGACAGGCTCATCGCGGAAGCCGCCGCGTCGCCGCTCCGGTACGCCTTGGACAACAACGAGACGTACACGGACCCGACGACCGGTACTCGTGTGTACGGGCTTGTGCAGTGCAGGAGGGACCTGACGACGGAGGAGTGCACCAAGTGCCTCAATTACCTTGTTCGGAGTCTGCTGGATAACTATCCTAACAACACCAATGCTTTTCTCATGGGGTTCAGCTGCTATGCCAAATACCACCCAGAGCCGACCGAGCTGATCATGGTGCCATCAAGTGCACCTGGTATGCTTATTTCTACCTATTATATTGGTATATATATCCCGTACGTTATAGTATTTCTTATTGTTGTTGTTTTTGTTTATCTCCAAGACTGACCTAAGTTTCTTCTTTTATCAACACTTTCTCTCTCTATATATAGGGAGGGCGAGAGTGAGAGAGAGACTACTGATTTAATTTTGTAATGTGTGCATATGTTGATCTATCAGAGGTTCCACCAGCTCCGTATCCGCCCCGCACAAAGGACGACCCCAGGTCCAAGATGTCTCTGATCGTCGGCTTGGGTGTGGCTGCGTCTGCTAGTGCCACCTTCTTCTTGTTAACCCTTGCCATCTTGTTGTGCCTTGTCTTTGGCTGCATGCGGAAGGGAAGGTTTGCTATTGCCAATGCGACAGACGAAGACATGGAAGGAAAATTCAGGAACGGAGCTGGACCAAAAGGATTCAGCTACGACGTGCTTGCCGCTGCCACTAGCAACTTCTCGGACGACCGGAAGCTCGGCGAAGGTGGTTTCGGTTCCGTGTACAAAGGTTTCCTCGACCAACTGAACATGTACGTCGCCATAAAACGGTCCAGGAGCTCCAGCGAGGGGAGGAAAGAGTACGCCTCCGAGGTGACTATCATCAGCCAACTGAGGCACCGCAACCTCGTGAAGCTCATCGGATGGTGCCATAGCCATGACCACCACCTCCTCGTTTATGAGTTCATGCCCAACGGAAGCCTCGACAGGCACCTTTACAGTGCAGACAACATACTTTCTTGGCAGCGCAGGTCACCCCATTTTTACAGCTCGAATTCATGATCTTATATATGTGTCCAAGCTTTCACAACAAAAAGGAAGCAATTCTTCGTTCATACTAGCTGTCTTATTAGCTGTATATGCTGTGCGTGTGCAGGTATGATATCGTCCTCGGGATCGGCTCCGCACTTCTGTACCTACACCAAGACTGTGAGCAAGGTGTGTTACACAGGGACATCAAGCCCAGCAACGTCATGCTGGACGCCGCCTTCAACGCCAAGCTTGGCGACTTCGGGCTGGCGAGGCTCGTCGCCCATGGCCGCGGCGCGCACACCACGGAGCTGGCCGGTACCATGGGCTACATGGACCCGGACTGCATGATCACGGGCAGGTTCAGCACTGAATCGGACATGTACAGCTTCGGCGTCCTCCTCCTCGAGGTCGCCTGCGGCCGGCGGCCCGTCGTGGTGGTGCAGGATGAGAATGAGAACACCGTCATCCATCTGGCGCGGCGGGTCTTGGAGATGCATGGCCAAGGTGAGGTCCTCAAGGCGGCAGACCCCCGGCTGGACGGCGACTTCGACGCGCGCCAGATGGAGCGCGTGCTGGTGGTAGGGCTTTGGTGCACGGTGCATGACCGGAGCCTGAGGCCGTCCATCTGGCAGGCTGTTAGAACGCTGCGGTTCGAGGCCTCGCTGCCGACAATCACCAACGGACACGAACCACCACCGGTTATTGGCCGGCTAGCCTCTGTCCCGTCGTCGGCTTTCATGTCCGAGGAAGACGATATGGCAACACGCAGCATGCATGCATCTTTAGGTCCAGGTCCACCAACTAATTACTATACTACGTAATCTTTATAAGTTGTACGAGAACTCAAGGTTTGAATGAGCCGGTTTATGGGTATACTCACCATGGAAAAAAATAGCGGGCTACAGTGGTGTCGTGGAGCACTGGATCCGGAAGAATGAGATAGAAACGACTCGAGTCTCCCCAATGCCGCACGAGTGGTTTCTTCCCGTCTTGATCTGTGAGTAGACCCGCGCGGTTTCGTAAGGGAGAAACGGTGTCTCCGTTTTTCTAATCTCTCTCCTCATTAATTGTATTGCCATGTGAACAAATTACTTAGTTGGCAGGATAATTAAAGCAGATATAGAAACTACCATTAATACTCCATTAGAAATGCCCTTAGTTCTGCTGGTTTCGTGGATGTTATGGAAAAAGTGAAACAGTCGAGTGTTCGACGGGGATCCCCAAACGGGGTGGCGCAGACGGCTCAGCTGATCGTTGCCGAGGGAGAATCCTGGGTTGCTGCTGGCTACAATGCTAGCTCTGTCGATGCTACTGGCAATGGTCACGGCCTGAAACTCTGATAACGCTTCGGTCGCCAACATTTAGAGATGTAATCGCTTACTAGATTCTGCTAGCAGTGCTAGGCCTTTTCTGTGTTTCGTGTGAAGCCGGCAACTCGCCGAGAATTTCACACAAAGTTCTAAAAAACTATCCCTCTTAAAGCTGAAGCATATGCTCTGCGAGATGGTCTTCTGTTGGCAGGTCAGATAGGTTGCCAAAGGCTTATTTTTCAATCAGATTGTTTGGTAGTGGTGGAGATTATGAAGGTGGGAGGCAACTCAATTGGTGTTGTAGCTGCTATCTACGAGGAATGTTCCTTCTTACGTCGTGGGTTCTCTAATGTCAAGTTCGATCATTGTCCAAGGGAGGCCAATAATGTAGCGCATAATTTAGCTTGTAACTCGGAAGGATCCTTACCCATTCTTTGGGAACAGGATCCTCCAGATTTTCTTTTGGCGCAATTAGCGGATGATGTAACTATTATTTGAAATTAATAAAGTTGTCATGATGGCTTCCCTCAAAAAAATCTATCCCTCTTAAAGCACGTTCTCGGGGGGAAAAAACTACTAATAAGGAGGCAGGGTGGGCTGGAAATTAGTTTCCCTATGGGTTTGTGTGGCCGTACGTGACGAAACAAACAATCCATGCCGCCGCACAATTCAAGCTGCTGGGCTGTGGATTCCCCTCCGTGCTCCTTGTCGTTGTGCATGCCAGCTTCCATGGAAGTTGGAACTGGTCTCCGATCCTCGACGTTGCCGTCCGTATGTAATGGTGTGGATTGGAGCTCATTCTCATCTACTCTTATCAAACAGTTTAGTTTGGCCGATGCTCAGGCCATCCACGGTAGCAAAATTATTTTGGTCCGTTTGATAGCAGCTTGGACGTCCAGATCCCTTGTTGCCTCCTGTACGTTACCTCCGTACACGCACGGCTAAAAATATCTACCGAGGCCGCCGTCTTCTCGTCCCTTCCTCTCCCTCTCCCCCGCCTCTCTCTTTCTCTCCCTCCCTCCCTCCCTCCAGATCTGGCGGCGCACCGGCCGGCCCAGCGCGGCGGCCGCCCTCTGGCATACCGGCGCGGCCAGACCTCAGCGCTGGCCGGCGGCCGCTGTCGTCTCCCGTGCGGCGCGTGCATCTCTCTCTCGCCTTCGCTCCTGACATGGCGGCGTGCCACCCGGCAGCGGGCGCCGGTGGATCCCCACGCTACCACCGGCCGTGGAGACTACGTAGGTGGCCCTCCGCACAGCATGGCGCCGGCGGCGCAGCATGGCCACCGACGTGGGCCACGGCTCCTCCCCACCCCCGGCCCGTGTAGGTGCCTCACGCGGCTCCACTGTTCCTCGTGTCATCGGCTCGCCGGTTCGCTCCACTTACCCTTCTCTCTCTCCTTACCTCAGTGCGGTGGTGTTGCTCCCTTGCATTATTTTTCGCTGCATGTGACATTTGGAGGGGGGATCTTGGTGAAAGGAGGCAAACGAACAAGGCAAGGTCAGTTTCACCATAGATCTATTGTTGTTCTCACCAAACAATATATGTTAATACAAATTGTTTTGTGTTGTGTAAGGAGTGGCCTACTCAGTTCGGCGGGTCTTGACAGCAGGCAACTGTTGTGCCATGGATCTGAGCATGTGACGCTGTCGATGGTATTTGTTTCAGGTCTCAGTGTACGATAAAAAATGACACTATCTATACTACATTCCTGGTGATTTCTAGTTTACTCTTTGCATTTTGGTCACTTGCAATGATGAATACACTTTTCTCTTCCTGCGACATTTTACTTTGAGGGAATGGGCTGCTACTGTGATGATTACACCATAAATTATGTTCAGTATTTGATGCAATGATTGCTCTTTCTTTCTTTCATACATGACGTATGAGGCAATGATCATGAGCTCTAAATTCGATTTTTGTCATCTCTTTTTACCTGTTCCATGATAGTTGGGGTGATGGTCAATTGGTTGTTCCTTTTTTTGGAGTTTCTTCTTATCATCATAGAGTCTGGCGTATGAGCTTGTGCACCGTTTGGAGGCATTGGAGAGGTACCGTCAACTACAGACGGTTGTGTGTGTACCTGTGCAATTATTAGATGGTGGAATTGGAGGTTCCTGGGTGACACCACCTATAGTAAGAAAAGTTTTGCGTTTTTGGAATAGAAGAGCGAAGGTGAAAGTACCAACAATATATAGTGATCAAGACTAATTACCGTTGTAAACCACACTCGGTTGAGTTGGGTTGTTCGAATCATTGCACTTTCCATCCGCACACCCTCTAGCCCTTCTTCCAATGTTTGCTTCAAAAGCCTGATTGCGGGATAGAAGGGCATTTCTCTCTCCAGTGGTCACTCGCTACCTATGTATGGTCAGTGCCGCAGCCAATTCAGGGGTCTAGACTTCTGGATTTTGAAGTATAGTCGGCGCGATGTCAACAGGCGTGCCCCTCGATTCAGGTATTTCCATATCGTATGAAGCCGCTTCAGGCGATTGAGGTGAAGAAGGGAAAATAAGCTGAGGGTTAAAGTGAGGGCTCTCCATGGCGATTGAGTCCGGATGCAGATTGTTGGCTCGGTGTTCTCTCACTGCCGTATTGTATTTTTTGTTGATCTCTTTTCGTTTTAACTTCTTCTCTTGTGGAGTCATTTGCAATTTTCTTGCAGCATTTTGTGTTGCATACAAGTCACGCCGCCTCTTGTTTATTAGCGCCTTTTGTTCAGGAGACAGTGCAGCCCGTCGTGCTCTATCTAGTTCACGCTTACGCTCTTTTGGACACGTGACAATATTGTCGATGGAATTGGACGCATTTACAACACCTAAATGTAATAAGAAAAAGTACGGTCTCAATGTCTCATCGATGAAGGACACATAATAATTCAAATTGTGTGATAATAAACTTTACACAACAGTGTGAGGTACAATGGTGTTCGAACTCCTTTAGTAATTAAAAACAAAGCCACGATTCTATAAAGGCGTACCCGTTTCATGAACAGTGTTGATATCCGTCTCAGTTAAACTGTCATCAATATCACCAAGAGGGGGTGATTCCTCGTTTCCTCCGATGCTTAAACGGATAAGACCGTCTAAAATTTTATTGATATAATAAGTATCCTACGGCACCACGGAATTTTTTACCGTAAAGAAATGCAGAAAATTGCTGCTTTCTTATTTTACAAACTCAGTTTTCTTGTAGCTCACCTTGGTGTATTCGTGTTGACAGGATGTGAGTCCAAAACTCTGATGCTTGTTCATATCCGTCCAAATGAGGATGATTTGTGTGAGACCATTTGTACCTTGGGTTTTGCAACAAGAGTCAGAAGTATTCGCCTGGAAAATGAAGAACCACAAGAAAAGAAAAGGAAGAGACCAGTTAAACATTAAAGTAGATAAGAAGCCAATGTCAGGCTGCTTTGATTTTCAAAGACAAGTGATAATAACAAGATGAGAGTATGTTGACCTTGCAAAAAATGTTCGATGTCCCAGAAATTGTAATAACAATCTGTGTCCATGTCTCCATGAACACAGATGAGTAAAGGATGTGGTTCCACACAATCTTTGCTGCAAAAAACTAATGTTTTGATCTTGTACATACAGGAAGTAAAAGCAAGAAAGGAACATTTGTTAATGGAATTAGAACAGGAGATCAGTGATCTAGAACAAGAATGTGAAGGTATTATTAGAAAGATTAAGAAGCTCAAGGAAACAATTGAGCATTTTAAAGGGCCCCAGCCATCTGTTGAAACAAATTTCGACATTTCACATCCATCCAGTGAAGAGTTGAAAATTGACATATCAAAGAATACAAGGAATTCAAAGAATCAGAGAGATGTTTCTTCCAGGTTACCAAGGTTTATGAAGCCAACAACATCTAGCCAGCATAGGATAGGCTTAAATAAACACATACCTGTTAGAAACAAGACAAAACCACCAATGCCACCAAAGAGAAGGCCTTCCTCAGTTTATGCTGAGTCTGTAAGGCTGTCAGTAAATGCTGTGGCTTGGCAGTCAGAACGCAGTTCTGAATGCAGTATCTCCATGACAAGTGGCATGAATTGGGCTAAAGTTCAGTTCTGAATGCGTATGCCGCATGGGGAAAAAATTAGATCCCAGAATGACTGTGTCAAGAGTTAAAGTTCAGTTCTCATAGGTGAAGCTCTCTGTTGTGGCTAGTTCTTTCTTCTTCTCCTTACCAGTTGTGGCTAGTTCTTTCTTCTTCTCCTTACCAAAAATCTTTGCAACTTTCTGCATAAAAAAACTGAAAGTTACTGTACTTCACTGTGTATAATCAGTAAGGCACACAATGTAAGGGATCTAAAGGAATCACAACTAAGCATCATATTATGAGTCCAACAGCAGAGAACTTGCGCTGGTTCCATGGAGCCACACGCATCCGTTGCTTCTCCATGCTAGTAGAGGCCACGCCACACGAGGCTGAGATCACCGACACGTTCGCAATGGAGCCACCAGCTGCTTTCCATGTGCTGGTAAGCAAATTTCTTACATACGTTGTTGTATCCTTACTTTGCAAATGAAGCATAACAATACATGAGACAATACATGCAATACATGCCTTGCTGGCAGACAGATATCTATAGTGATGTGGCCAATGAGCTGCTTTCGTATGCCCAGCGGTTCGAACACAACCCCCCAACGGTTGGTACGCTGGAGTTGGTTGCCGCCCTTCGACGACTAGGTCAACGTTGCTTGGTGGGAGTACACCAGGCACCATGCCGGCACACCACTGACGTAGTTGTTCAAGCCCACCAGGGTGTGCCTCCACCTCCACCTCCATTGCCACCTCCAGTCGACGGATCGGGAGGACGTTCTCGTCCATCCCAGCACGAGCCGCAACAGAGGGTTCAAGTCCTAGGTAATTCAAAGATTACCTTCCGGATTTCTCATGTACTATGTGCATAACATGCTCTATCTAACCTAGCCTTTTTTTATAGGTACACATGCTTCTTGCAGTGACTACACGGAGGGTACTAGCAGCTTTGGGACCTTTCACACAGACGACACTCCACCTTGGTTCCCCGAGGAGGTAGGGCCCTCCTAGCTTTCTGGTGTACCACTACCGACTCAGGGTACTGAGCATATGGAGTCGACCCCACCTACACGACTGCGACGCCCTCCAGACCAGTGGACTTACCCTACGGCCCAGGTTCGTCACCGAGGTGCGCAGGCACCTAAGCATGGTCGTCGTGTAGGTTAAGCGTGTAGGACAATATGGTTGTATGCTAGCATGGATATATGCATGCGAACTAATGTACTTTTGGATTTGTGATGCGAACTAATGAAAAAGGATATTGTTTAGCCTTTGCATCGAGTATTCTAGCCGGAGACGGTTGTGTTCATCAAAAAGCATCACATCGGGTGATGGCTGTATCTAAAAAAGAAGGAATACAACATCAAATAGAGTTGTCGGCCGCGTGGGGCCCGACAGTGGTATGGGCAACTGGGCACCCGACTTCCCTGCCGGTGCACCAAATGTCGACTGACCTGCCGGCCTTCCACGGGCCGACTGATCCTGTAGGCTAGTGAGCGGCCGACAGGCTGCCATATGTCAAATTTTAATATAACAGCTTCTAGATTTGCAATTAATCATTAAAAAAGTAACAGCTATAAGGTCGCAAATCTCATCGATCTTTACAATTTCATATAAATTATGTTGTTAAGCTCACGTAAAAAAAGTTATGTTTTTTTTTCAAATATACTACATGGAGAAGAAATATCTTGTTATTTTTGTTACGAATCACGGTACATCACAGGCGCTCATACATGTCCGTACACTCATCTCCTATGAACGCAAGCACACACATTCTACCTCTACGAGCACCTCCACAAACGGTGTGTCCCTGCTTACATGTCTGCATTCGTTACGAATCATCCTCTACTCGGAGCTCACGTGTCTGCGTCATACACAAGATCCGCTACGAATACTGGATCCACGTGTTTGGGTCCGATACAAAGTTTTCAAAGCTCACGCGTTCGCATCCGCGTCCGAATACTGAGATTCAGCACAAAAAAGATGATACCGGTGCAACGCACGGGCATGTATCTAGTATATAAATATATGTTTAATGAAGCAATAAACTTCAATTTCAATGAATCAGTATATACGTCAGCTAGCGATTCAACTCTTTGTATTGTTGTGTTCATGCCTCGACGTCGTTGTCGACACAATTTTGTTGTGCCAGTTTAGCTAGTTTCATTTGGAACTGAGCTCGGCGGCGTTGTTGTACTCAATGTTGTTAGCATGCTTCGATCAGTGGTAATCCCACAACGTATACATACTAAAATACACTTCGTCATCATGCATAATGCAGAATCTTGAAGCACATATATATACCCCTGGTGTCCACGACGTACGCAAACGAACGTCGTCATTGGAAGACAGGCAGCCATGGCGCCTCGTCGTGGTTCGTGCTGGTGTTGCCCCTACCTGTCGGCCTTTCACGGGCCGCCTAACACTGTCGGCTCTGCAGATGGTGCCGGCTGCCACGTGCGGGCCACGTAGACCTATCGGCTCGTGAGAAGCCGACATGATGCTATATGTCAAATTTTAGTGTACCAACTTCTAGATTTACAATTAATCATTAAAAAGTATTATTTAAAAAAAATTCCAGCAGTGGGTACATCGCCTATCGAGTGTGGCGTCTTCCTGCTTGCTGCTGCTGGGTATACAATCTGAGTAGTTGACGTTGTCGTAAAAAAAAATCAAACTCCATCTGCATGTACATCTTATTGATCACATCCTCCATGGAATTGATGTACCTGAAAAGCATTGGAAAGTTGAACTGAAAAACAAATTGTTCAGGCTCATCTTGTTTCCAAGGGCAAGATTAATTTAGTAATTCTGTAAGTATTCACTTTGCAGAAAGAATAAATAAAGTTTTTTAAAGCATTTATACAACTAACTCTGGCGAGCTTGAGAAAAAAAGCATGTATAACTATTTTTGACCTGTCTCTGTTGACTCTGTCTGAATTGTCTCAATAATTGATAATAATCCATATCAGCCTGAATGGTCAAATTTGCAATGCAGAGTGCTGACTACCTTGAAATTAGTACATTGATGCCACAGTAAATCATATGTAACACACATGCACATTAGAATTGATTCTTGGAAAAGTCATGCTATTCATGTATTTGTTTTTCAAGCCAAATTCGATCTGTAGTTGTGTAATTAACATGCTTAAGCATGCAAACGTTTACCTAAAAGTTCTCTTGTGATCAGTTTGCATTTCAGTCAAATGGTTTTTCTTCTGTATATTTTGTATCTTTGTTTAAAGATATTTAGTCCTGACAATAGAATATTTTTGGTCTTGCAGGCGAATTGTCTTCTGAACTCCATTCAGATTTAAGTGATTGTCTGAAGATTCCTTGGTTAAGATAGAATATTCAAGTGAAGTGCTGATCATTGCCTATTTTAGAAGTGTTGTACAGAGATCCTCAACAAATTGCATGGTGTCCAAATTGGCAGGATCTCATCTTTGCTTCCCACTTCTTACATTGTTAAACTAACCAGGAGGCTAGTCCTGGCTTGCCTCATTGATTTGCACACTGAACAAATTTGGAAGCTGTAACGTAGAATCATGTAGATGAATCAATGAAACATGTACTGATCTTTTTTTAATGGAAATGCACAGGTATGCATAAGAACATCTCCAGCAGGCTACCTAAACAGGCTACATATCCTATATTTGGGTAGTGGAGACAAAAACTACACTCCAGCAGGCTACCTAAATTTATTGGCCCAACAAATCTGCCTACCTATTTTTCTTCGGTTGTTTTCCTCTCTCCCGCACGTGTCTCTCTCCCACAGCGCGACTCGCCCGGACGCCGGCAGTGCGCCTCCTCCCCACCGGTGGCACCCCTCCCCCGTGAGCCTCCTTTGCCGGCGGCGCGCCTCCCAGATGGCAGCACCGCCCCTCCCCGACGCCGGTGAAGTCCCTCCCGACGCCGGTGGAGCTCATCCGATCTCCGCGAGTGGTCCTCCCCGCCGGCGGCGCATTTCCTCCCGGCGGTGGTGCCCCTCCTGCGCGAGCCTCCCTCGCCGTGGAGTCCCTCCGCGACGCCGGTCCTCCTTTGCCTCACGCCTAGCCTTCCATCTAGGCAGCGCTCCCGGCGGTTCCCCTGTGCCGTGGCCGTGGCGAAGGTTTCCCAACCGGGGAGCTCCTGGCGGTTCCCCTATGCCGTGGCCGTGGTGAAGGTCTCCCGGCCGGGCACGACTCCCCGGCGGCAACTCCCCTCCCGACGGCAAGTTGTTGATGGCCGAGTTCATCGATGGCGACAAGGAGGATGACACGTGGGTCCCACATGTCATGGACTACTTGAATGAATTTAGGAGCCATGTTTTAGGTAGTACTGCTAGAGTTGGGACCAAAATATAGATAGTATGAAAATGGGTGGCTACCCAAATAAAGAAATAGGCAGTGTGTTTTAGGTAGTACTGCTGGAGATGCTCTAAGGTTAACTTGATGGAGAACTAAACCAGATAGAAAATTGCGGCCTGTCACTGACACAAACGAGATAGATGCAACATTAAAGAGAAGCAGGAATTACATTGAATGGCACGGGCTGGCCTACCTCTGAGAGGAGCCCATGCAGCCGCCATCGAGGCAATCAAAACAAATTAGATTGAAGGGAAGGGCTCACCGGGCCTCCATCCTTGACCCGCCAGTGGTGACCCATAGTTGTCGCCGCCGCCGCCGAACCTAGCCCCATCGAGGACGTTGTGGCAGAACCACTCAAACTATGCTGGCCCCGTGTACCCGTCATTGTCCTAAAGACCTCTGACTGCTATACACAAAAGACAGATAATACGGTAGTCTGTCAGGTGTCCTCGGAGAATCTGAAATCATCCACATTTTACAACTCACATAAGATCAACAATGGAGTTACCATAGCATTACAATATTGATACAAAAATAATATACATCGGAGTGTGAAAAACTTATAACAATAGTTTACAAAACATGTTTAAGTAAAACTTAACATTAGATCCAAAGAGTTGAATAGGACAGCGGAAGTAAATTAGAAGAAGCACCTAAGGTAGAAGAGACAATCAGATCAT